GCCGCAAGGCAGTACCCTCTGTCCATCGCTTTTTTTAGCCCACATTAATGACTTATGCAAACACCAAATCAGGGGCGCAGATATACAAATATTTGCGGATAACACTGTCATACTTTTTCATAGTAACTCATGGAACCTTGTACGACAACTGACTGAAGAAGGCATGTCTGTTATCACAGCATGGCTTGAAGATAGTTTATTATCATTAAACACCACCAAAACCAAGTTTCTCTGTCAACTGTCAGATTCGTGTGCATTGCTATCCTTGTAACCGATCTAACGCTTTACCTACACATTGTTGCTATCCCACGCTATCAAAAAATAATGACATTAAATACTTAGGGGTAACATTGATGACAAATTGAATTGGAAGAATCACATTACTATGGTGAGTAATAGACTAAGGAAACTTATATATATATTGAGAGACTTGAGACTGATACAAGACACTAAACTATTGATTCAGACTTACAGAGCATTGGCTGAATGTGTAATTACTAGACTTGCAACGAATATTCGGTTACTATTCGGTATTCGGCCTATTCGGCTGCTTTTATTATATTCGGCCGAATACCGAATATCTACATATTATTCGGCCGAATACCGAATACTTAAATATAATATATTTTGTCATTGAGAAATAATTGGTAAAATGTAAAATTAAAAACGATTGATTACGTATTTATTCATATTTTTATTTCTGTTATAATCATTTAAGTAGTCATTGGTGCATAACACAGGTACATAATCATCTTCTGAATTGGAAAAATGGATTTGGATTCTATGTATTGTAATCAAAATTTAGAAGGGTAAGGTTCTCATTTCTTTTATAATCATTTGTTAAGTAGTCATTGGTACATAAAACAGGTACATAATTTAATTCACGTCTGTACAAGTTTTTGGCGCTAAAATCCAGCCGAATACTTTTCCTAATATTCGGCTATTCGGTCAGGGGCCTCGCCGAATATTCGGTATTCGGTATACTATTCGTTGCAAGTCTAGTAATTACCTATTGCTCTTGGGGTTCGGCTTCCAAGACACACTTAATTGAACTAGAAAGAGCAGAACGGGTTGTGCTTAAACTGCTTCTGTATCTACCATTTCGGCACCCTACACATTTAGTTTATAAGAAAGCTGATTTTCTTACTGCACGGCAACTATTTATCTACCAAACTATACGTAGACATCACAAAACGACTGTTCCACTATTAAAACCATCGGGCAAAAGGATAGACAAATTTCCAGTTCCAAGAGTAATCAGCAAATTTGCCCAACAACACTATAGTAATCTTGAACCTAGACTTTACAACAAACTTAATTTATCTTATAAAACTAAAAACTTAACTAACTTTAAAAATAAAAATTAAATGTTGAAAACTTACTACAAATGGTGAACTGATGGAGACTTGAATTATGTCACACACACTCTCACTCACACCACACACACATACACACCCTCCCAAACATAAACACATACCCATACAGAAACATATCTTTTAATTTAACTATTTACATAACTAAATTGTATTTACTATTGTAACTATTTGTTTACCTTGTGTTTGAGAAGGAACTCACTCCCTACACACAGCTCGCGCTAGTTTGGGAATCAGGGCTGTATAATGTTTGTAATTCACTTATTGTTACAATAAAGATTATTATTATTAAAGACTTATCTCGAATTGATTGCCATTTCAGAAGCCCTAGCATATATCAAATCAATAGATGTCAATAAATTTGTAATTTTAACTGATTCAAAAAGTGTCCTTCAACATGTGGCTCGGTGTACTTCTTATTTTGTTTTTTTTTTTTATTATTTTGTGTTAAAAAGACAACTCCCGCATTAGGAATAAATCCTGTGTCGCGGGGGACTTTATAAACATACATGAAACGGACACAAAGAACACCCAGACTCAGAACAACAATTTGTGGATCACACAAAGTGTCGTCCCATGTGGGGTTTGAACCCACAACACTCGTCGTAGTAGGCAGCGGCTTAGTTAAGTGGCTTACCTCTTATGTAAGTGGCATACCGAAAGCGTACGACATTATAAAATCACTTTTTAAATTAAAATCAAATTCGAAAGAGGTGATCCTTCAATGGATTCACTCACATATCGGGCTGGCAGGTAATGAGGAAGTAGGAAGAAGGCTACTATAGTTAAACCGCCGTAAGCTTGGCCCTCCTGATGGTTTGCGGGACGCGGGGCGGGTGATGCGCTCGGTTATACATGACACGATGTACTAACTCGATATCTTCAGATTTATTTGTTTGAGATTTAATCTACACACGATGTAATAAAAATCGAATTTATTTCCATGTATTATAATGTCAGTGTATTGTAAGTTTTTATGATTAATTGTAAAATTTAATACTGTAAAATAATTTTAATAAAATCACCTTATCGCCATCATGTAAATTATATTCAGATACAATTTTAAAATTTAAGTAAAATAATAAATATTCTTTATTAGAACTTTAACAGTAGAACCTCTGTAAGCCGAACTTCAAGTTTTTAAATCTTTTTGTGACGCAGAGTCGGCAGATTATCCATGTTGCAAAATAATACCGTGTGTAGCAGTCTTAAGAAAAATAACACGTACGGCCATGGTTTCACGTCAGTCACTGCCGGCGGACAGCAACGCACTAGCTAATTGGTTAAATGCACCCCCGCCCCACGTCCCCCAAACCATTAGGAGGGCCAAGCTTACGGCGGTTTAACTATAGTTATCAGAATATTTAGGTAAATTTAACTATGCACACACAGAAAATGTATTGGCAATTGTTAAATGAGTCTTAAATAGTTTTTGTATAATATTATTTTCTATTATTTGCTTTTCGTACGTGTACACTTTGTAGTATTTTTTATATTTGCTAGTGATCTGTTATGTTTATCTTACATTTCTACCTTAAAAATTCCATGTCAAGCGATCGCCTGAAACACAGGTTTACCCTAGTTCAGGCAGGCAGCGACTAAAGTTTTTAAACAAAATCGTAATATCTTTATGAAATCTAATCATAAAATAACACTACTATAGATTTACGCTAGTGTAACTTAGTCTAATTATTGTCTAAGATCTATGTTAAACTGAAATGTCCTACACTGTAATATTTATATTGGTCAAATAAATAAATTATTATTATTATTCTCTTTATTTACTTTATATACATATTATTTACATTTTTAAATATACACTTTATAAAAAAATACATTTAAAAATATAAAAAATAGTAGACCACCGACATCGGGTACAGGGACCAAGACACCGGTGGTTAGGACTCCAAAGATAGGAACCTCCTCACTATACGAGCCGTGTCAAGGAGGACTGCCTTCTGCATCAGACCCTTGATCCAGCCATCCAACGTGAGCCTCTTAAGGTGTTGGTCGAGGCTCTTGGCTATCAATCCATGAGCAGATACGACTATCGGAACAATGATCACTGAATCAACATTCCACATATCGACAATCTCGTGAGATAAATCCAAATATTTAATTTGTTTTTCTTTTTCAACTTTCACGAGATTCTCGTCATGAGGAACGGCGATATCAACAATCATTGCGCGGCGCTCTAATCGATCTATCAACACAATATCAGGCTTATTGGCAACAATAGTCCTGTCTGTGATAATAGATCGATCCCAATACAACGTGGCCCGACCATTCTCGAGAACTGGGTCGGGCACATACCTATAGTATGGCACCTCTAGATTCACAAGATGGTATTTAAGGCAAGCTGTTGGTGTACGATCCTGGCTACTTGGTTGTGCCTGTGCAAATATTCTCCGTTAGCAAGACGAGAACAACCAGAAATAATATGCCTGATTGATTCGCCAGGACGGTGGCATGCCCGACAGATGTCAACCGTACCATCTTTCAGGATATATTTCCGATAGTTATTCGTCATGATAACTTCGTCCATAATCGCACAAACAAAACCTTCAGTTTCTCCAAAGAGATCACCATGCCGTAGCCAAGTCGTAGATGCTTTTAAATCTATATCGGACCCGTTTAGGGCCCGATAAAACCGACCATGGAGCTCTTTGCCCTTCCATACTTCCCTGCGATCATTAACACCAAGTACTACAGGTCTGCGCCAATTCTCTTTAGCCAGAGCGAGCGGGGTGAAGCCGGTATCCACTGCAACTACATTGCGATGCACTCCCACGTCGGTATGTAGAAAATATTCTCTGAGATTGCATACCTCGCGATTATGTAGGGTCTTGATATTTAATAGACCGCGACCCCCAAGCTTTCGCGGGATATACAATCTCATAACTGATGAACGTGGGTGGTGCATTCGGGATGCAGTCAGCAGTGTGCGGACTTTCCTGTCAAGGGCATCTAATTCGGTCTGAGTCCATATTATTATTTATTTATTATTATTATTATTATCTGATTCGAGAACACGGCTATAAGCTTTGAAAGGTTCAGTTTGATGAGCGATCAGTTCAGAAAGGCATATGGTATAGAACATTGCAAAGTGAGCCTTGGAAGTCTCCATGGTTTGACAAGTGTACATTGAGGAGGCAGGTATTAACTATAGCCTTTAGATTGTGTAACAGGTATTAACTATAGCCTTTATTAAGTAAAACTTAATAAATTCGCGTACATGATGAAAAAATTGACATCTCCCCTTTGTTCTGAGTGTGGGATATTAAAAGATGCGTTACATATTATGGTGGAATGTGTTCGGAACGAGGACATTAGAAATGAAATGTTGTTTATAACAGAGAATTCGAAAGACCTTGGAATCTGTAACCAAATTTTAGTTTTTCCCCTTTCAGAGGCAGCAAAAGCAATTTACAAAATTGTTGATATCGGTATGAGGCGACAAACGAGTATATGATTGTTCTATTAATTGTTAATATTGTATGTACTGTATCCTATTTGATGACCTCATGGAGTAATGTAGTCCGAACGGACCAAAACTCCTTAAAAAAAAGCTCTAATCTACTCGTTGTTGTGTATTTTGTATTTATTTCAAAGTTTTTCAATAAGATTTCATCGAGATTTTTCTGCAGTTTTTCTTTTACCCTCATATTTGTTGATTTGAGTTTTGAGCAAGGGCTCCTTCTGGGTTTCCAACCCTATCTTGCTCTTAGAACTTCGCTTGTAGCTTTGTATGTAAAATTTTCCGAACATATATAAAAAGGCGACAGCGTTTAAGCTACAGGCAACGTTGAGAATCCTTGGGTAGTCACATTTGTAGAAGAAAACGGCAAAATTGTGGACAAAAACGATGCCAAATTGCACCTAAAACAATAAAAAATATTAATAATTTACTGACCGATTGTCTTAAATGTTTTTCTATGATACTGAAAATTCTGTACTTAATAGTAAGTTTATTTTATGACATATTAAGCAAACGATTAGACGGGTTAACTGATAGTAAGTAAACACCGTCGCCTCCAGAATAAGGGGGAGAGGAAGTTTGGGTTCCGATAACCTCACTGATAAAGAGCAACTAAATAATTGCTTGTCACGGGTTTTCTGTGAGTCCGTGGTATCACTCCGGGCGAGCCAGTCCATTTGTGCTGAAACATGGCTTTCCGACTACCTCTCACTTACTATAGTCTAAACAATCTAAGAAGTGAAACAGGTGAAACGGACATTCCGTAAGTAGAGAACGCAACTACTTATGATCTGAACGAAACATGAAACAACTCTATTTTAAGTTAAACAATTTTTATATTGTAAAAATGTATACTACTGAGTTGAATGAACGTAGTGGAACATATTTCAGTTTAAATGTCTATAAATAATTTAAACGATCGCATGATTCTTTATTTCTGCCAGATGTCCTAAAACAGTTATATTCTATGATTTTAATTTTTAAATTTTAGTGTTGTTACATTTTAATCGTTGGGTAGGTAAAGGTTAATCGATTTATTTTACAAATGGTATATTATCAAAGGATTTGCTAACCAGAGTTCGTCTTCATTTAAAGTAAATTTTTATTTATTATTTAATAATTCGTTCTTTTTGGTTTAATTTAATGCTTTTGCTAAACAAATGAATTCATATTTATTTTTAAGAATTATTTAATTGAAAAATTAAAGTTTATAATTTTAAACTGTATGAGTGTGTACAGCAAATAAAATAAATCAGCACATTTTATTTCAAAATTTACTTTTTATTTGCCCTTACATCAATAATACACACACGTAAAAAAAGAAAACGTTAGTGGTACGTATGACAGCTCGTTGCTTACTTCATAGCAGTTTCTCGCGATCCGTCCGACTAACTCTGCACTTCTTTTTTCATATATTAGAGGGGGCAGACGAGCAGACGGGTCATGGAAAGTGACTACCGCCGCCCATGAACGTCTGCAACTCAGGAGTCACAAACGCGTTACCGGCCTTTTAGGAAGGAGTACGCTCTTTTCTTGAAGGTTTGAAGGTCGTATCGGTCCGGAAATACTGCAGACGATAACCCGTTTCGGAATCATAATTAGAGATTTAAAATTTACTTACCAATTGAATAACTGTAACGTGCTTTTTCCACCACACATACTTTTGATATTCTGGTCCCAAACTAGAAATCAAGTAATAAGTGTACATGATCACATGAACGAAAGAATTAAGGGTGCCCATAACAGCAATGTGTCCACCTGTAAGCAAAGAATAAAATAAAATATTAGTTCATTCCACTATGTTCCCATGGGGGAATTAAGTGATATAGATATTTTGGCTACCTCATTTCACCTTGGCAGAATGTCACCTAGGTGAACATAGTGAAAAAAACCAAAACATTGACCACAACCAAATTTGTCCAATATTTTTTTAGCAATATTGTTAAAAAAATATTGGACACCGATATAGGGTAGTGCTATTGCTAAAATATATCTATTTTTTTTTTCTTTACTTTTCTTTTGATATTAGATTTTAAATAGGATAGGATAAAATAGAATAATCTTTATTTTTGATATTGTGTTGCCACAACTTGCTTATGTCGGATCAGCAATATCCTAGTAACATTAAAAGTAAAAGTTGACAATAATGTATACAATTTTATTGTTCTTGCAATTTACGAAACACATATGCAATGTTAAATTAATCACTGAACGATCGAATTGAAAAATAAAGGTATAGTAATTTTAATTGTTCACGCATGAATGAAAATTTTGCTGCATATAATTAGTGTTGCAAATAATTTTAGTAGAAATTAGAATTACTATTTGTTATTGTCATAGGGCATTACACCTATTTTTGAAAAATGTCTCTTTAATTACGCTTATCTTAATAATGTTTAAGATTTAAAAAGTGGGTCAAAAATATAGTTCAAACCTGCATAATATTTAACTCCAAACCAAATCACGAGGACCATTAGCGTGTGATGATATACATGAAGAAATGACACTTGATTGAGTTTCTTTCTTAGAACAAAAAATACCGTGTCCAGAAGCTCAGATATTTTGGCTATATAATAAAACCATGCGCCCCCTGCTATCTGTAAAATTATATGTTATTTAAGAAAACAAACTTCCTTCTTTCATCATCTACAAAGTTCATCACAGTTATAATGTTTATCATTTCCTCAATTGATTTTTTTGGTCAGCGCAATTTATATAATTGACGATGGTTTTGGCTGGTTTAATTTATCTGGGCCGCCTTCATCATCATAATCAACAGTCTTTAGTAGTTCACTGCTGAACATAGGTTTCTCCTTAGAAAGTAGGTTTTGGCGTACTATACCACGATGGCCAGACGGGTTGGTATAGGGTTTTGCGAGGTGGGCCCCGATCTGTCGGACGCCCAATTTGGTTTTCGGGCGGGGCGTTCGACAGTCGACGCCGTGTTGCGCCTGAGGGCCGTGACCGAAGAGGCCGTGAGCTGTGGCGGCGTGCTGTTGGCGGTGTCATTGGACATCGCCAACGCATTCAATAGTCTGCCATTCAGCTGCATCAGGGAAGCACTCCACTATCATGGGGTGCCAAAGTACCTGAGGCGGCTAGTGGCAGACTATTTAGAGGAGCGTACCGTCGTGTACGAGGACCGAGAAGGTAATCTGAGGTGTCGGCCCATGTCGTGCGGTGTTCCACAGGGGTCTGTTCTTGGACCCCTCTTGTGGAACATAGGGTACGACTGGGCCCTTCGCGCCGATTTCCCCCCCGGGCTGGGTGTAATCTGTTACGCAGACGATACCCTCGTGACAGCCCGGGGGGCAAACTTCCAAGAGGCGGCGCGCCTGGCCACAGGGGGAGTCTCCCTGGTGGTCGGGCGCATTGAGGCGCTGGGCTTACGGGTGGCCCTAGATAAGACGGAGGCCCTGTTATTCCATGGGCCCCGTCGTGGTCCACCCCCTGGCGCCTCAATCGTGGTCAACTCGGTCCTCGTACCGGTTCGGGCCCAGATGAAATATCTGGGCCTGATCCTCGACGGGAGGTGGCTCTTCGACGAGCACTTCCGACAGCTTGCTCCAAAGCTGGTCGGCGCTGCGTCTGCCCTAGGGCGACTCTTGCCCAATATGGGTGGACCCAGCGTCGCGACAAGACGGCTGTACACGGGGGTTGTCCGGTCAATGGCACTGTACGGTGCACCGGTGTGGGCGGCGGCTCTGACCGCCCAGAATAGGGTACGCCTCTGGCGCCCTCAGAGGGTAATGGCGGTCAGAGCCATACGCGGTTACCGCACCGTTTCTACGGAGGTGGCGTGCGCGTTGGCCGGAACTCCCCCGTGGGATTTGGAGGCGGAAGTGCTCGCCGAGGTTTATCGGCGAGTGGCTGACTCCCGGGCGGAGAGCGGATTTCGCCCTCCGCCCGAGGATGTGCGCGAGTGGCGCGAAGCCGCTCGCCGAGCCACGATGGCTCGTTGGTCGTTCCGGCTGGAGACTCCACGCGCTGGCTTCGCCGCCGTGGAGGCTCTCCAGCCGGTCATCGCCGAGTGGGCAGGGCGGCAGCACGGGACCCTTTCCTTCCGACTGACGCAGGTGCTTTCCGGGCACGGTTGCTTCGGAAAGTACCTGCACACGGTCGCTAGGAGGGAACTGAGTCCCGCCTGCCACCACTGCGACTGCAGTGAGGACTCGGCCCAGCACACGCTGGCGGTCTGCCCCGCATGGGCGGCGCAGCGCCGGGCCCTCACTGCAGTCATCGGAGTGGATCTCTCGCTACCGGCCGTAGTACGCTCCATGGCCGGTAGCGACAGTTGTTTTACCGCGGTCGCAACCTTCTGCGAGGTAGTAATCTCGCGGAAGGAGGCGGCGGAGAGGGCCCGGGAGGACGACCTCCACTCGGACCCGATCCGCCGCCGGCGAACCGGGCGGCGGAGGCCCGCCTACCACAGCCTCATGCCGCCCTGAGTGTGGCCGCGGGTGGACGGGGTGGGTTTCCCCTCCACCCGCATTAGTTTGGCCAGCCGCGAGGGGGCGGCGTCCGCGTGTGCCGGACGTCGCCTATAAAGAGAGGGAAAAAACACTGAGACGGAGCCCGCACCAGGAGCGGGCTGGCGCTAGGAGGGGTCCGGATGTCTTAACAACAGCTGTTCCCGGATCCCTCCTGTTACAGGCGCAGAGTGGCACACCGTGTGGTTTTAGTCGGTCCGAGTCCGACACACCACCCCGCCGCAAACCCCGGAGGGGTGACGGTCCGAGGGGATTTCCACACGTTAAAAAAAAAAAAAAAAAAAGGGTTTATTTTAAGTTTTCCTTCCCTTTGCAGTGTTGTTGTCGTGCGTACTTTACCCTCTTAGTCGGCTCTTACGACATCCAAGAGATGAATATTGGTAGTGACTTAACCTGTCACAACACGGACCAGGGCACCTACCTGATATCAACCCCCCTTGGGAATGTAATCATGTCTAGACGGGACAAATGCAGAATACGTTCTGCATTTGTCCCGTCGAGACATGAACTCGTATTAAAGTGAGGAAAACAAATAGGGCGAAAAACCTATAGTAAGAGTTACCAAAACGCTTTAACACTGCAACAGCGCTATGAAGCCGTTGTTTTGTACCCGTGTCGTACCTTTTGTCATTAGGGACTCCACAAGGTATGGGAATTAACTGACCAACATACATATATATACCATGTCTAAAATAAAGAACGTAATATCTATTATTAGCAGACATGTATAACCAAAAGCTCCTTTCTAAGGAGGGGCTTATACCCAGCAGTGGACTATTAAGGGCTGTTAATGTGATGTAGAACAGTTTGTTCGGATAATCGACGCTCTGCGGTAGGTGTTATATGTTTTTAGGATAATATAATTTACTTACCCTTATTGCTCGAGGATCATTTGAGTAATCAATTGGTTCACACGCATAGTTATATCTTTTGTCGAATATGTAAACCATACCCTGAAATATAAAAATAAAATTGGTTGTAAATTAATCAAGTAGAATGCTGTCACAGTTAATCTTCATATGTATAGTGTTTTAATATCTATAAATTTATTTACTAAAAAATTAGCTAAAAGCAGACTTGGATGTAGTCTAAATTGAAAAAAATACCATAGTTTATAGAGCTTTCATGTATAACTAGCGTCTGCCTGTGCCTTATATCAGTACCTACATTTTTTCTAGATGAAAGGTATTTTATTCCCCCCTTTGGATCCTTTGAATTATTAGATTAATTAAGTCAATTGGATTGTGATGTAAATTGCAAAGTGAAAATTTGATGAGTTTCCTAAAATAACAAAGCAGGAAGATTGCTGCTCAGACTGCTGCAATAACCATTTCAAAGTATATATATACCATCGCAACCTGTTCGATCTCTCGCTTATTATTGCTAATCCATCCCTACAACCATTATTATTTTTATTGCAATTCCCAGGCGCTGTCGAAGTCACATGTGTTGCCCCCATCTATCACGCGATGGACGCGGCACCCGCACGGTGAATCCATGGAACGCTAAGAAATAGGTCTTATATTTTCCAGTCTTATATTCCTTTCTTAATAATAAATGCTCAAATTTACATCTAATCCTTAATAGGAATATATTCTGTCTCGCGGGGGACTTTACAAACATACATGAAACGGACACAAAGAATACCCAGACTCAGAACAATAAATTTTGGATAACACAAAGTGTCGTCCTATGTGGGGATCGAAGCCACAACATTTAGCGTAGTAGGAAGCGGCGTGGCGACCGCTCATACCACTACGCCAGCCGTGCAGTCAATAAATGTAAGCGTTTTCCGTCAGTTTTTCACTAAATTCTTACCTCGTAAGTTAAGAATATACTGAAGAATACTTGAAATAAATTATAAAGTAACAAAACAGTTTTCAGTTCGAATGGTTTCCTGTGTTTCATTAATCTTGGACCAAGATATTTGCAGAAATATAGATATGCGGACGTAATAGAAAATATCACTAAAGGATTTGATACTCCCCACCAATCCTTCGTTCTGGGATCTGAAAATTTTAAAATCAGTAAAGTCAGTAGTGTCAGTAGTAAACTTTGGGTAACGTATTTATATAAGCCGTAAAGGTCAAAATCACAAAAAAATGACTTTATTTGAAGTACGTAATCAGTCAAAGAGGTACAATTTCTCTTACAAAACCCAATAATAAAGGTAATTATAAGTTTTGGAAACTGAATTTCTTGCAAACTCGGCAAAAACTACGAGATATGATTCCTGAACCATTTATAATATGTACCTACAAATGTGTACGTAATCCTCGTAGTCGGCGTCCGACTCGTTGTGTAGATTTTGATGATATGTTCGTATAAAAAGCTGTAAAGAAATAACTCAGAACTTCATCAACGATTTGTGGTTTGTGAAGTATGTAATTTTCATGTAAACATACACCGTCATATGTGTTTACTACGATGTACCTGTTAATGTACAGATTATGCGTACTATTTAAATGGAATATGTAAAATGGGTGACCTTTAACGTTGACGACTATCAAATTCCAATTCACTGAGACGTAGAACTTTCATTTAACAGAATCTAGTTATAAAGTTTATAAAAATTACCTTAAATTAGTAAAAATCAAAGTAAAACGCGTTAACATATCCTTTAGTCCACATACATCTATGTAAATTCAGTTACATGGAAGCAAGTATAGTGAAGTGCCCAAAAAGTTCGAATAAGAAACTTTACAAAACGTGTCCTGTGTCCTTGAAACTGACAAAATTTCGATCTATAGCTACGATCCTCTCATGAAGCAACTATCCATGCAATGGGTGTTTGAACAAGAGGAGTTGCCCACAATAATTTGTTCACGATTGGAGCGTTAATAAAACAATTATAGCGCAGTGGACCAGTACCAGCAATTCAGCTAGAAGACCGTTGAAGTTACTTGTGAATGGTATTGCAAAGTTTGTCTGCCTCAAGCTTTCGAAGAGTTAAATAGTGAACGACCAAAGACCGGTGTCAGTGACATTATTTTTCACCGAGATAATGAGCCTGCTCACATAGCTGCTAGAACCAGGGACTAATTAAATACTTCGGAGGTACAAATATTACCCCATTCTCCATACAGTACAGAGTTAGCTAAATGCAATTCTTATTTGTATCCAACTTTAAAAATTGCTTCATGGGCATGCAAAAGTTTAACACTGCAGAACCGTTAAATAATATTAATTATCATGGAACGCGAAAGTTTAAAAGTTAGTACTGCAAAAAAGATTTTTAGATCGCAAGATATATTTTTTTTTAAATTCGAAAGCTGCTTCATCTGCTGTCTTATAAGTGCAAGTGGGAATATTTTGAATAGCTATAATAAACCCATTTTATACTGCAACTATTTTTGATTTTACCAACAATAATAGGAATAGCCTACATAATATGATATTAAGAGCATATTATGTTCTTAAAAATGCGTGTTAATTACTAGAAAAACTAAACAACAATTAACGTCCCTACATCAGGCAAAGATATTAACACTAGATACAATATTGTAACATAGAAATATTATAAAGCGACCCACTTAAGAACAAGATATGAAAATGTAGTTTTTTAAATATAAAATTAATAAAAAATACATGAATACCTTTTTTTTATTTGTATTGAGTAACTTAAAATATGGGATCATCCATTTAAGTTTGCAAAAACACTAACTCTAAGGGAGGAAAATTAAGGGATGAATAAATAAGCTTGTAAAAATACGTATTGATTTAAGAGCACTGAACTCGATGATACTATATATATATATATATATAAGGTATTTTATTAAGGATCTTCAAAATAATCAAGAAATTGTTTCTCTGAAAACACAAAGTTCTGTTTTATTTAATAAACCTTTACAATAATAAATAATCTAAGCGTCATCCGCCATTGAATCATAGTTCACATGTCACTTCGATGCGCGAAATTCAAATTAATGAAATGTCATTCATTTCATTACATAATATATTAAGGCATAAATAGTTTTAATTTAATTATTTGTTTTCAAACAACTAAAATTTGTTACTATTGAACATGTAGTATTACTAGTGCGTAGTTATCTCTTATTTTTTGTAAAAACTATCTGTTCATTTTTAAAGTGTTTCAGTCATTCTGAGAATATATTTTAGGATGATAATATGTTACGTTACTTACCAGCTAAGTCATGAATTAAATAAGTATAGGTCTCCATAACACTATTTATTATTGCAGACATAATTGAAACTATTATAAATAATTTAATAAAAATTAAAAAACTTAAACAAGCGAGCGAACTGTCCCACTCGCTTCTATCGTAGTGACAAATTCCTAATTGTGAGGAAGCAGCTCGGTGTCTTGTATATATTATAAGTAAGTACAGAGCACCATGATTTGCACAATATTTTAAGGAGAAAGTAAAGGTCAAAAGACTTAACAAATCAGAATTTCAAATATTCTACCTGTATATTTTCTTACTATTAAAAATCTTGGAATTTTAAATAATGTGTTTCTTTGTGATTTGTATATCGGTAATTTTTCGGTTCCGTACCTCAAAAGGTAAAAAAGGAACCCTTATGAGATCACTTTCTTGTCCGTCTGTCCGTCTGTTCGTGTCGTGTCACCATCGATTTTCTCAGGAACGGGTAGACCTAGCTAGTTGAAATTTGACCAGATACTGAGGTCTATGGTCCCTACTAGGTGTATAAAAATCAAGGTCCTGAGTCAACACGAAAAAAAGTTATGGGCAAATTTCGATTTTCGCGAAAACTTGTAAGTACCAAAATTTTCCTTAATTTTTAACTTTTATTATTTTTCAGAATTTTTTCTTTACTTGTGCTAAAATACCAAAGTAAGTGTGCTGAGTACCAAAATTAACAATACTTTTTTTTTTTAACGTGTGGAAATCCCCTCGGACCGTCACCCCACCGGGGTTTGCGGCGGGGTGGTGTGCCGGACTCGGACCGACTAAAACCACACGGTGTGCCACTCTGCGCCTGTAATAGGAGGGATCCGGGAACAGCTGTTATTAAGACATCCGGACCCCTCCTAGCTCCGGCCCGCTCCTGTTGCGGGCTCCGTCTCAAAAATTTTCCTCTCTTTTTAAAGGCGACGTCCGGCACACGCGGACGCCGCCCCCTCGCGGCTGGCCAAACTGATGCGGGTGGAGGGGAAACCAACCCCGTCCACCCGCGGCCACACTCAGGGCGGCATGAGCGCGCCTCCTCCGCCCGGTTCGCCGGCGGCGTATCGGGTCCGAGTGGAGGTCGTCCTCCCGGGCCTTCTCCGCCGCCTCCTTCTGCGAGATTACTTCCTCGCAGAAGGTTGCGACCGCGGTAAAACAACTGTCGCTACCGGCCATGGAGCGTACTACGGCCGGTAGCGAGAGATCCACTCCGATGACTGCAGTGAGGGCCTGGCGCTGTGTCGCCCATGCGGGGCAGACCGCCAGCGTGTGCTGGGCCGAGTCCTCACTGCACCGTATAGTGCCATTGACCGGACAACCCCCGGGTACAGCCGTCTTATCGCGACGCTGGGTCCACCCAAATTGGGCAAAAGTCGCCCTAGGGCAGACGCAGCGCCGACCAGCTTTGGAGCAAGCTGTCGGAAGTGCTCGTCGAAAAGCCACCTCCCGTCAAGGATCAGGCCCAGATATTTCATCTGGGCCCGAACCGGTACGAGGACCGAGTTGACCACGATTGAGGCGCCAGGGGGTGGACCACGACGGGGCCCATGAAATAGGAGAGCCTCCGTCTTATCTAGGGCCACCCGTAAGCCCAGCGCCTCAATGCGCCCGACCACCAGGGAGACTCCCCTTGTGGCCAGGCGCGTCGTCTCTTGGAAGTTCGCCCCCCGGGCTGTCACCAGAGTATCATCTGCGTAACAAATTACACCCAGCCCGGGGGGGAAATAGGCTCGAAGGGCCCAGTCGTACCCTATGTTCCACAAGAGGGGTCCAAGACCACCGCACGACATGGGCCGACACCTCGACTTACCCTCTCGGTCCTCGTACACGACGGTACGCTCCTCTAAATAGTCTGCCACTAGCCGCCTCAGGTACTTTGGCACCCCATGATAGTGGAGTGCTTCCCTGATGCAGCTGAATGGCAGACTATTGAATGCGTTGGCGATGTCCAATGACACCGCCAACAGCACGCCGTCACAGCTCACGGCCTCTTCAGTAACGGCCCTCAGGCGCAAAACAGCGTCGACTGTCGAACGCCAAACCCGAAAACCAAATTGGGCGTCCGACAAATCGGGGCGCACCTCGTAGAGGTGCCGGACGATGCGGGCAGTGAGAACCCTCTCAAACAATTTACCCGCCTCGTCGTCGTCGTCGAATCGGCAGGCCGTCCCGGCTTCCTTAATAGGACCAGCTTCCCGCTCTTCCAGCACTCAGGGAAAAGCTAGCGCAAGCTAGCGCCAAGCTAGCGTCGAACACCTCCCCGAGGCGGTCTGCCATGTGGTTGAGGGCTAGGGCCAGCACTCGGGCCGGTACCCCGTCTGGCCCAGGGGCGGTGTTCTTGGAACGGATCCGTAAAACAGCCGCCCCTACCTCCGAATCCCGGACGGGCGGAATATCATCCTCCTCGTGCCCCCCGTCGTCTCCGGCCAAGGAGGCCATCGCCGGGGGAGTGTGTTCCGCCCGTTGCGGGAAAAGGCCCTCAACCACTTCTCTCAGGAAGCTGGGCTGGAGAGTCTCCGTAAGGAGGGGGGGGGGGGGGCGACGCGCGGAGCTTTTGTCGCGCCGCGCGGTAAGGGCGACCCCAGGGGTCACGATTAAGACCCTCCAGCATCTCCTGTCTCTTTTCTTCTTTGGCGCGGCTAATGGCCAGCTTCAGAGTTTTTCGCGCCTGTCGGTACTCCTCATGAAGCCGGTCCGAAATTAACAATACTAGGTCAACCGGAAGTATCCTTTTTTTTTTTTTCCGTGCGGAAATTCCCTCGGATACCACCTGTCGGTGCCATGTCGGACTCGAACCGACTAAAACCGCACGCCGTCTCGGGTACTAATAGCCGGGGAACCAGGTATACCCTAGAAAGGAAGTCCCTGGTGAACCGGAAGTACCCTATAGGTTTTGGGTCCAAAACCTATATGGTAGTTCCCGTTGACCTAGAATCACGAAATTTGGCAAAAAGAAACGTCTTACAGCACAAATAAAGAAATAATTCTAAAAAATAAAAAAGTTAAAAATTTAGATAAATTTTGGTACTTACAAATTTTCACGAAAATCTAAGTAAAATCTGGGTAGGTACGGAACCATTGGCGCACGAGTTCGGTTTTTTCAAATTTGAATAGTACAAATTTGAATACTGAAAGTATACCCTCAAAAATAAAATAAAAAGACAAAAAAAACGATCTCTAAATGACGGTATTCTGACTTAACCAACATAAAAGAATACAACCTATTTACAAACTAATCCTTTTTCTAAGTCTGTTAAAAATATGCAATGAACTTGCAAGAGGTATTTTATACCAAACTACTTTAGGTAGATGCAGAATAAAGTGACTAGGAGTACTATATTTTTTAAGCAGCAAAAATAAAAGTGTACACACATACTGACATAATATATAAGGAGACACATTACTACCACCGTTTACTACTTAGTCAGACCATAAAAAACTGTATTAATTATGTATTAATTTATAAATATAATTATATTTTTATACCAACCGTCATTGTCTTAGAGGTTGTAACAGTTATTTTTTTTTACATTTGTAATGCGTACGGTATTGTTAAAAGCGACTCCTGTTGGCCGCATCGCATTGTTGTTGATTTATCTAAAGTAGTTTGTAGCTACGGTATTGATCTTCTTCGTTCACTCTCGGTCCACTAGATGGCGTTTGTTTGAGACATGATAGATTAATAAAAAGACTTACTTTTTTTAATCTGTTTTGTTAATCTGTCATGACAAATTGTATAGGTATTGAGAGTGTTCTGCTATGGTAGGAAGGAGTTACTTTTGATTTTGTAAGCTTTGCTTTCTTTCACAATTTAAATGTCAAAGTAAAATGTTGAAGAGGGGTTAACTTCTGGAAGCTTCGTTAACCGAAGATATATAAGTCCGGCTTTCTGCCACGGGAGACACTCTGCTATCTCGTGTCTTCCAATCTTAAATAGTGTTTTGATTGTTGTGTAATTTGATTTTCGTAATATATTATCTGTTCAAATCTACCCACAAGAGTGGTGAGTATGGTCTTAATTCTTCTTAAACCTATTTGTTTCTGGAACCTGATTAATAATATGAGTGCTAATCCATTCGTAGGGTCCCAGATTTCGGGGTCAAGACGGTCAGTCTCAGACGGCGTGCTTGCTCGTTTGTGGCCTTCTGGTTCAGAATCAAGTTTCTCGGTACCCTCTAGCAAAGCTGGTGATTGCGCGGCTCACGACGCAAGCGGACAGCCGTACCCAAGGGTTACGTACTCACTTAAAATCTTATAAATGCAATTTGTTTAACTTTCATCAATATCTAATATAAATAGCCGACTCGGGCGGAAGGTGAAGGGACCTCCCAGAGTGAAGACGAGAATGCTCCGAGCACCATCAGCTCGGCTCTAACGCGCTCCGCTGCGGTTTTTTTTTTTTCTTGTACCCACACTGATTAATTTATTTAATTTCTTATTGTAAATGTAATCAAGTTTTTTTGAAATATACATGTATGTATGACTGAGGTGTAAGTTGTTTTCCTCTAAAGAGTCCCATAGGTTTCCCACACGCACACACTTCTATTCTCATACAAGGCGCCCTGAGGTAATCTCTTGAATCTCTCCACTGGGTCAGCCGGTGAGTAGTCCGCCTGAGAAGAAAAGCGGCTACAAGGTTAGTAATCTAATTTATGTCTCGATGTGCCTACGTTATAATACCCGTGTTACATTCAATATATAACCTGTATTTATTTGATACCTAAGTGGTATAAATACTTTATTGATTTTCTCTAGAGCGAAACGGAAAAAAAGACCAGATTCCAGATCCAAAATCCTAGAAAAGAATTATAAATAGGAGACTAATAACATACCTTGAAGATAAAAATTTGCTATCACAAAATCAATACGGTTTTAGACCTAACAGATCTACTAACCAAGCAGTACATCAATTGATAAATAATATAACTAATAATTTAGACAAGGGTATGTGCTCTTTTAGATGTTGCCAAAGCTTTCGATACTATCTCCTGTTCTATCCTATTGCAGAAGCTAAGCTGGTTTTGTATAGCGTTTTGTATGTGTTACAATGGGCGATTTTTTTATGTTGAATACTTATTATCACAGTTTTCCAAGAGTTTCGTATTTGCTGGATATAAATAGTATTAAAATTTAAACACAGCCAAAACAATGTATTTAAGAAATGAGAGAATTTTGAAAATAGCATGTTGTCACGTCTGAAACGCGTTGTCACGATTAAACGCGTGGTCAATGACGTACGACGGTGTCTATATATCGACCAATGATCTCGAAGCGTACCTCAACGTTGTAGATTGTAGTTAAAGCCGCATCGAGCGCAAATCGAAACCAAATTTACCTTTAGTATGAGAACGTGTCCGCCGTTTCTAAGACTCAGCTAGCTATATTTTCTTCCTGTAGCGCAGAAACTGGTTTTATGTTTTTTAAAAACAAAGGATGGATCCTCCGACCAGGTGAGCTGGTCAAGCCTGGTGGGCCTCATTGTTAGTGAGAAATTTTATATTTATTAAACATGGTGAGAATCAAATTCACCGATGTGGAATTTCAAGTCTTAGTTGGATGGTATTGAAGTATATTTTTCCTTGTATTCGGCAGTTGAAATACTTTAACTGAATCTAAGAGGTATTAGTTAACTAGGGAAGGTCGCACTACTGCAACAACTACAACTAGAGCTTTCAATCAGGGTCATAAGGGGTTAATTACGGGTAGGAAAAGGTTCCTGTCATCTGTGAGCCGTAGATGACCCGGAGTCCTTCGAGGTACCAGGGATTTCTTCTTTTTAGGTTACACTTGCTTCTGCCTTTACTTGTACCCGAGACTCCACCAGCCGTCAGGCGAAAAAAAAGGTGCATATTCTGTAGAATGGAAACATAAAAGTAACAAAGGTCATATATTCTTTTAGTCAATCAAAGTTGCGTAATGTGCTGTTGCATTTTTTTTTTATTAGGCGTATTTTTTTTGTGCATATCGCTTTTATAAGATTTGATTTAACTTTCAGTGTTTCTTAAATTGTGTTAAATCTGGGAAAATAAATATAACAATTTACTTGCACCTTACGCAGTTTAAAAAAAAAAATCCAGATAACAATGCTTTTAATGAAAAATATTTCGTATCTTAAAAATCCGGAATTTTTAAACTAATTCCTTAATCATTTCATTCTTTCAATTATTATTTTTTTCTTTTTTTAAATGACAACTACCGCATTAGGAATATATCCTGTGTCGCGGGGGACTTTACAAACATACATGAAACGGACACAAAGAACACCCAGACTCAGAACAACAATTTATGGATCACACAAAGTGTCGTCCCATGTGGGGATCGGACCCACAACACTCGGCGTAGTAGTAAGCGGCGTGCCGACCGCTTAAACCACTACGCCATCCGTGCAGTCCGCCATTGTGTATTAAAACTTCTATACACTTTAATATGTGTGCACTCAGGGCCGAAGTGTCAATGGTCGGTGGTCATTTACCTTTAGAAAATAGGTTTCATACACAACCTCAAGTCCAAACTCAATTTATAAATTTCATGAGTGACCACGCAGATTTGGGTTACTTTCGAAATCAACGGTATCCAGGTTTCATTTTTCACACTTTCTTTGCCGCTACACGGTATTCGATAGTAGTTAGTAAACAAAGATTAGAGTTCTATTCGACGGCTCCTACTTCGTCAGGCCAAACTGTCAATGATATTCTTGTGGTTGGGCCTAATATTCAAGATTCGCTTTTTTTCCATCTCAATACGAGCACGCCAGCATAAGTACCTTCTCTATTCGACGGCTCGGCTCCTATTTCGTCAGGCCAACCTGTCAATGATATTCTTGTGTTGGGGCCTAATATTCAAGATTCGCTTTTTTTCCATCTTAATACGAGCACGCCAGCATAAGTACCTTCTCTATTCGACGGCTCGGCTCCTATTTCGTCAGGCCAACCTGTCAAGGATATTCTTGTGTTGGGGCCTAATATTCAAGATTCGCTTTTTTTCCATCTTAATACGAGCACTGACACGAGCACTTAATACGTGTACTGACAGACCTTATCGACGCAGAGCGCTTAAGCCGTCGTACACAGTGTTTAACAAACGATTTTTCAACAAATATTCTGGCAATTGATGTCAAGTTGCTGTTAATACCTACCGATTCCAATTATTTTTATCAAGATCCATTTTCGGCGACAATATTTACAGCGTTCTAATCTTTCAATTAAGAATTTTGCAATTGATCGGCAAATTGCTTTGGAAAAAGCGGAGCGGGTGCATTTTGTTAACAATAATAATAATACCTATCTAATACCTAAATAACAACTATGAAAAACGAAATCTTTTTATTTTTCGTTTGTTACAGCTTTCCCGCATGTTTTTTTTTTATTGCGATATTGCGAGATAACTGTTTCCAAAGTTATTTTGCAATAAAAAGTATCTTCCCGGCTCATCCATTCTATCCTTTTAAATAGGTCATCATGTGGGCAACGATCTTCAGTTTCCGCCAGATCACATTAAACTCCATCCAGAGTTGAAAAACATGTTTTTTAAGCTTTGACATCCCGACTATCACGACTGCCTCTGTTTTATTTTTTGCATAAATCCTATAATATTATATTGAATAATATTGGCATAAATAATAAAACAAAACAACAGAATTTAGACATGATATATTTATGACATTCATTTTTTGTCTACATTTCGATCTTGTATCTGAAATATCTTCATAGATATTTTGTACATTGATTCACCTTTTTTTGCATCCATCTTGCTTTCTGTGTCATATTTGTAAAAAAATCTAGTCATTATGCTTTACTCTTCTTCTTATAACTTTTGAGGTAAAATCTTCCAAACATGTACATGAAAACAACAGCATTTAAACAGAATAAAATGTTCGCAGTCTTCGAAAACTCACAGTCGGAGAATAAAGCGACACAATGATGGACGAAAACGATAGCAAATTGTATCTAAAATGCAAAGAAAAATAACATATTTATTTTCGGTTAGAGGGATCACACTTTCACATACATCATCATCATCATCAACAGCCTATAATAGTCCACTGCTGGACACAGGCCTCTCCTTAGAAAGGAGGTTTTGGCCTATTATACCACGCTGGCCAGACGGGTTGGTATAGGGTTTGTTTCAAGATTTCCTTCTCTTTGCAGTGCTGTTGTCCTGCGTAGTTTGCTCCCTTAGTCGTCTCTTATGACACCCACGGGATGAATAGGGGTGGTGACATTCCGTTTTCTTAATCCGTCACTACACGGATTTTCTTTGATTCCAATGATATTATTATATTTTGTTTGACAGTCTTTATATATATATATATATATGTACTGTTATACTAATGACTTTTAAATGTGGCATTGTTATTTTATTTGGGACAATTTAATTCAATTGTATTTTTAACATTTTCATTTTAACTTTATTTTTGACTTTCTAATTGTATTTCTAAGATTTTATTTAAAAGGGGATTGACCACTTTTGGTATTAGTTTCGTTTTATACTCAGATTTGCAGTCAGTTGAAGCTACGAGAAAATCAAACTTCTAAGTTAAAGTAAGAAAGATACGACCGGTTATGCAAAAAACGCATATTTCGATAAGGGAATAAAAAATTTATAGGGTACTTCTCATTGACCCAGAACTATGAAATGTGGCAAGTAACATTTTGTTATGCTACAAACACAGGAAAAAATCTGAAAAATATACATTCATAATTAAACCATAAAAATATAGTCTTTATTTAAAGTACATAAACTGTAAAGTATATATACGATTACGATTTATAGGTTTTTGAAACTGAATTTCGGGAAAAGCTCGAAAAAATCTGCGAGACTCGATGTCTGAGTTATTTATAATAAGTATTCGTACGGTAACCTCGGTTGTTGCATGTTTAAATCGTAACCTAAGACTGTATGTGAAGGCAATCCGTACAAATTTTATTTTAAATTCTGATTTTGAGATATGATTTTACACACGTAATAAGGAAATATTTTTTATTCGATGTGCACTTCACTACCGGTTACCTTTTTTTTTTTTTTTTTTCCGTGCGGAAATCCCCTCGGATACCACCTGTCGGTGGCATGTCGGACACGAACCGACTAAAACCGCACGCTGTCTCGGGTACTAATAGCCGGGGAACCAGGTATACCCTATCACTACCGGTTACCTCGGTTTTTCGATTATCTTGAGAGAAGGTCTCCATGACCCTGAGTGAAACCAATTGCTATTAATATTTTGTTATAAAAAGCTAGCTAAGTATTTTTAATCGAAAATATGTTGTTTGACTTTTGAACCTCCGAATTCAACGATTTCCCACGAAATACGGAGAGTTATATAATAAATGTTAAGTTTACCTAAAAGTATACATTAATACCATCATCTTGGTCAAGATTTTTGTAGCGATATTAAACGCCATAGTAGCTTGAACAGTCCACTTTATTTGTTATATATATGTAATTAAATGGATCTAATTAACATTTCTAAGCTGGATCCTGGTACAATATGTGAGACTACTTTATCTATGTTTAGTCCTTTATGTACTATATTCTTGGAAAGAAGTGACATTCAGGTACATTCTATACTTTTTTCATAAGGGAATTATGCTTATTCTTTCTGCGTACGGATGTAATTTATCCACAACATTTAGAAATGGAGGAGAACAGGCATGGTTGGACAACGTAAATGGCACTAAAATTATAGTAGGCAGAAATGTAAGCGTTTTAATTTCCAGCTGTCTGCCTCTTCGAAGGTAAACTCTTGAGTCTGGGAAGTTCTTATGAAAAAAATCTACGTACCAGTTGCATTTCTGTAAGGTATCTTTTCCACCACACATATTTCTGATATTCTGGTCCAAAACTAGAAATCAAGTAATAAGTATACATGACGACGTGGACTATGGCATTCAAAAATCCCATTAGAATAAGGTGTCCTCCTAAAAACATAAAAAAAAAATATTCAGATATTTTTAAAAACTGTTGACTTACAGATGATAGGTCTGATAAATTATTCATCGAATGATTCGATAGAATACCAATGAACGTAGTCAAGGTGAATGAATCCTCAGTCTGCAAGTTTAAAGTTTGTTACATTGTTAAATAGTTCATTTTTATGTTATAAAAGGGCAAAAAAGCAGACTTGATGCCAAGTAACAACCGCCGCCCATGAAAACCTGCAGCACACAACGTCACAAGTGTGTTGTCAACCAATGAGTCCCCCTTCCCCAGAAACAGGGGGAAGGATTGTTTGGGCAACGATAACCACACTCACTCGGTGACAAGCAATGAAAGGACCGCTTAATACTCGTACCAGATTCCTGTGAGGGGCGTGGCATCACTCCGGTCGAGCCGACCCATTTGATTATCCATCCATCCATTCGTCCATCAATTCATTTATCGAGTTGATGGAATAATGGATGGATGGAATAATGAAATAATGGAGTTTATACTAATTTTTCAACATTCACGTTTTGTAATATGATAATCTAATTCTTAGGTAAAATATTAATAATGTTGAGTTAGTTTGTGTACGCTTCAAATACTCAAAAAAGTTCTGCACTGAGCTCAATTAGCTCAAATTATGACAAGATTTACGCCCTGCTGCAAAGGTTATTTTAATCTATTTTTTTCAACAATTTCTTTCCTCATTTCTCATCAATGAATCCACAATATGCCACAGCGAAGCGTAACCAGGTACAGCGAGTTATAAACATACCGTAATCAATACAGAGTGTCACCATCCCGTGTCACCATCCCTATTCATCCCGTGGGTGTAGTAAGAGCCGACTAAGGAAGTAAACTACGCAGGACAACAGCATTGCAAAGAGAAGGAGAGCTTGAAACAAACCCTATACTAACCCGTCTGGCCAGCGTGGAATAGTAGGCCAAAACCTCCTTTCTAAGGAGAAGCCTATATCCAACAGTGGACTAGTAAAGGCTGTTGAGGATGATGATGGGAATTAACACGATCACTTAGTATGTATTATATACATTTAATTTGATTTTTTTTTGCGTAACAAAAGCAATTCTGCTATTTTACGTTAACGTTAAACGTTAAACGAACGTAACGTTAACGTAGGTTATAGTTTAATTTGCCAGATATGGCAATGCCCTTGATATATTATCACCATTGATGAGCTATTGTCACTACATCGACAGTCTATTGACACTGTGAATTTATTATAGTATAATACCAAGAATAACATCTCAGTGGCATCGTAATAGCGTGTTAATAGAATGAAAGTGACTTGTACGTTAACATGAAATAGTAGAATTGAGGCCCAGGTTAGTGAAGAACCGTTACTGAACCATTTACGGAATTACAAACTTACGGACAAAAATTATGTAATTGGTGTTGCGTAATCGCTTTAAGTTTTGTAAATATATGTTTAGGTATGTATGTGTATTAGTTTGATGTCAATCTCTCGGTGCCTATAACAAAATTTAAAATTAATTTTTAGTTCAAACCTGGATAATATTTGATTGTTAACCAACATCCAAAAGTCATAATAGTGTGATGGTAGACGTGAAGGAAAGACACTTGATTGTATTTCTTTCTTAGTACAAAAAAGATAGTGTCCATAAGCTCCGTAAATTTTGCAATGTAATAAAACCATACTGTTGTTGCGAACTGAAAGTAAAATTAAAATGTTGTAATCTATTAATGTGAAAACACTGTTTATAATAGGTCTTTACCTATGAAATTGCCGTTTTGTATGCAATAAGTGAAAGTACTTATTTTTTCAAACTTTTTGATTTCTGTTATTCGAAGTAATCACCCATGGAATCGACGCATCTTTGCCAACGCATTGGCAGTTTATTGATGCCCTTCTTGTAAAAATCAGCTGGACGGAAGGCAACAAACTCTTCAAAGGCATTTTGTACTGCCACTCGAGAATCGAATTTTTTACCCACTAAAAAGTTGTCTAAATTTTGGAAAAAGTAATAGTCGGTAGGTGCAAGGTCTGGTGGTCACATCTGCAACCAGCTTTGGTCAATCGGTCGTCCCCACTGCTCCTTCACGACAACCCGCGACCCCATACTGTGCAACAGATAGTCTCCAAGCTGCAAGAGCTGGGGTTGGAAGCTCTCCCTCATTCGCCATACTCACCAGACCTTGCATAATCAATAAACTGCCAATGCGTTGGCAAAGATGCGTCGATTGCATGGGTGATTACTTCCAATAACAGAAATAAAAAAGTTTGATAAAATAAGTACTTTCACTTATTGCATACAAAACGGCAATTTCATAGGTAAAGACTTAGGTCTTTACCGATTTTGATTAAGTATTTTTTCTTTGAAAGGCCTGAACTTGAGCGAGTGTTTTCTTAGCCATTATTGAAAAAATAATGGTCTCCGGCCTTCTTTGGCTTGTAGGTAACCATCACACACAAGTGATCTCGTATAACCATGTAAAAAAGGTTTTTTGCTTTGGAGTGTGTAATTGAAACTGCTATGCTAATTTAGAAAAAAGTGAAAGCTTTTACTATCAGTGAAGGACTAAACTATGTATATAATGTATAACATTGCATACCTGTAGTGCTTTTGGTGTAGTTGAAAAGTCTATGGGTTCACAAGCGAGGTTGAAATCTTTGTGAGTCATAGATATTAATGCCTGAAAGAAAATTATTCAGCAGTTTATGTTTGTAAGTGAGGTGCGGGCTTGCCAATGAAAAGTAGCAGTGAAACACACAGACACGGGAATGTTGGCTGTTTAGTCACATTATCACAACAATAAGAACTACGCGCGTTAAGACGGACACAAGATAACAGTTACTGAATCCTATCTCTCTGGCGTGGCATCGAAATGCTATTGCCGTATACGTGGTAACCAATTACACGAATGGGACTCGTTTGGGGGTGCGCCAGGGACTGCGCAAAGGCTCGCGACGGACTGCCTGCGGAAAGGCTAGCGAAGGACTGCCTGCGGAAAGGCTAGCGAAGGACTGCCTGGAGGACTGATGCAACGTGCATTTTGGACCACGTGCAACAGTCCCCACGCTTCCCTTTCCCCGCGCCTATGCAGAAACGCCGGCAACGCACGCGTATCCAATATAACAATAATAAAAGATACAAAACAATAGTAAAAGATAGAGTCTTATAAATAATCTAATCTTTTTCTGTTCTTAAGTTAGGTAAAAAACCAAGCTGCATAGTCATATCAGATCAGTCATTAAATAAATAATAAATTAATATAAGTTTCCTCAATTGTATATATTTGTTATCTAATTTGGGGATCGAAATTTAAAGCGAGCCAAGTAACATCTATGCTTACTTTTAATATTATAATTCACATATATATTAATAATACATTTACTGTATAGGAATTATGTATATTATTTAACTGTAGTATGTTAGATTATATCTTTAGTTAAATAAGTCCGTTGCTTTATTTAGATAACATAGTAAGTTGTGTAACATATGTTGAATTTGAATCCGAAAATACAGTGTTGTCCACATTACTTAATTTTCCACCACTAGGAATGGCATTTTTTCTTCACATTTGAATGGAAACAAAGGGGAAATATATAGCAATATAATAGCAAAGATATATATAAGAATAAAAAAATCAATTCATACATGAAAATAATTGCATAACAAAGATTTTTTTGTCTCTTAATATTTTGTTTTCTCATTTATTACTCTCTTGAGCACATAGCTCTGTAACCCAACACACCAGGCTCCTTTATCGATATCGAAGTTGCCTTTGACAAAACCGATTTCATCAGCATTAGCCAAGCTCTGTCTAGACATGGTGTTGATTTCACAATCTCAGGGTGGATCGACAGATAGATCGGTATAGAGCTATTCAATTAACTGTGAGTGTAGTGAATAGAGGGGTGGTGGACAGAGGATGCCCTCAAGGTGGTGTACTCTCTCCCCTTTTATGGAAAATTCTTGTGTATGAACTAATCACACAACTCGATGACCGTAGATTCCTCATAATGGACTATGCAGACGATGTGACTATCCTCAAAAATGGTCCCTTTGAAAGCGTTATATGCAATCAAATGAAACTGAACAGTGATCTGACTGAAAATCGTGGAATAGTGGTGTGTGTCACACAACTTTACAGTGAACCGATCGAAAACAGAGATGATCATGTTCACAAACAAACGTGGTCTAGGAAATCTCAGACTTTCCAAACTATTTGAAACCCAACTGAGAGAACTATTTGAGATCCATCCAAAGAGTTCAAATTCCTAGGAGTAATGCTAGAGAGTAAACTCCTGTGGGAAAGGCACCTCAAAGAGAAACTATCCATAGCCTTCATTGTCTTCTGCCAATGCAAATGGCTACTCGGTAAAGGTTGGGGACTATTACCAAAGATTACAAAAGGGCTCTACAGAACAATTATACCACCAATAATCACGTACGGTGCCATCGTCTGGTGGGTCAGAGAAAAGAGCTAAGCATCGTCATAAATTGTAGAAATTCCAGCAACTCTCATGCTCTGCAGTCACTGGCTGTATGCGCACAACGCCAACTGTCGCACTAGAAGTGGCTCTTGGTCTGCCCCCACTGGACTTGTTCATACAGTTCAGGAGGCAGCCATAGCGAAGATTAGGCTCAGGTACCTGGGTCAGAGGCACTAAGTTGAGGGACCGCATTACAAATTATGGCATCAATTAGTGGAATACGAACCACTAATAGGAGCTCCATGCGATTGGATCCCAAAACACCAAATCTTCACAAAGAGATACCACATTCAGGCACAAAAAAATGAAGGCAAAAATCTGGCATAAATGCAGTCTGAGTTTACACGGATGGTACCAAGACCAAGAGTCACCACGGCCACGTCAAAGGGTATTAGAACTGTACTGTACTGAACTGAATATCTGAATACTGTCAGACAGCATGGCATTGTCTTCAAACACCTAACAAATATCTTGAAAGAATAAAACAAGGTCAAAACATAAGCATATTATTGAAAGAGTTATCCTCTAACTCCTAAAGGTAAAGCTCCTTCCATCATCAGCTCAGCAACATGACATAACGACTACTAAAGGCAAATACCCATATAACTAGAGAAACAAGCTCAAAATGCTATCGGGGCTGTAAATTTTAAGGGTGTTTCCCAATTTGACAATTGACGGAGATATGGCGTAACAAACATACAAAAAAAAAACAGTCGAATTAAGAACTTCCTTTTTTGTGTTTTTGTGGTCTGTTAAAAATACACAACTTCACCTTGGAAATAAAAAAAACTTATTAACAAAAAAAAAAACATTCTAATTTTAGAGTTAAGTGTTTAAAGTTGGAGTTTAAAGTTTCTAAGTTACAAGGCTAAAAGGGTGATCTTACCTCCTTCGCTAGAAATAAACTAAAGCCTACTTGAAATATATTGTACAGTAAAAGAACAGTTTTTAGTTGGAATGGTTTCCGGTTTTCCATTAATCTTGGGCCCAGCGATTTGCAGAAATAGAGATATGCTGACGCAATAGAGAAGACGACTAAAGGATTTGATACTCCCCACCAGTCTTGCGTTCTAGGATCTGAAAGTATAGATAGTATTTTTTTTAGATAAACTATCAGGCAAAGTAACAAATAATCAAAATAAGGTATTGTGAAAAAGGTGTACTAGTAAATACATCGGAGAATCATTACGCAGAAGTGTAATCGGCCCGGTCATGTCTGCAGACGGATTGATGGTCGCTGAAGCCGACACATACTTGACTGGAAACCGCGATTAGTCAAATGTGGTGTAAGGCGCAAAAAAACGCACCAAGCGCGGTTTAAATGTGTGTGCGTTTATCTTATCATGGGTTATGACAAAACGTACTTTTTTAGTTACGAAAATAATCATTGATTTTGACATAAACACTATGTTTTATTTGAATGTATGTGTGTGTTTGAAACTATCTGCATTTATGATGTTTGAATAAATTAAATTCAACTGTGTAGGTTATTGTCGCATGCATGCGGTCTGAGTTAGCGTACTTCCTTTCTTTTTTTTTTTAAACTTAGAGAAAGACTTAAGGAAAGTTGCGGATGGATATGCCCAAGGCAGAATAGCTGCAGCGCAAAAGCGATAAAGGACTCCCCCAAGCAGCGACTTGTAGGAGTCCTTCGTGTAGCAGTGGACGGCTATAGGTTGATGATAATGATGATGAAATTCATCGATAAGAAGAATGACAAAATTAGACAGTGTCAAAAACGCAATACACAAAAGCAATGTGATGAGTGCCAATATAGCCAATATGCCAATATAGTATAGCATTTTTATACTCATCACTTCGAAATGAAATGTTCGTAATTAAATGATATCTGCTCAACGAATTGACCAATTTTAATTATATAAAGACAAGAAATTGTCTATTGAAATTATCTCGATGATGAAATACTTTAATTTCATAAGGATTCATATAATCACATGGAAAATGCATCTAAAGTATGTAGTGAATATTTAATAATTTTACAAACATAAAAACCCTTTTTATAGCTTAGCTGTTTTACACCTTGGTTAACATAACCTGTTTTTTTGCATATGTCTAAGATTTTTAGAAATAAATTATAGCCTATGTTACTTCCTGATAATGTAGCTTTCTATTAGTGAAAAAATGGTTAAAATCGGTCTGGTAGTTTTAGAGCCTATTCGATGCAAACAAACAAACAAAAAATCTTTCCTCTTTAGAATATTAATTTCCTCTTCGTATAATAATATAATATTCCATATTTAAAAAAAAAATTAGAACCACCACCGACGTTGAAGAGGGTAGAATAGTCCAAGATGTAGACCACTGCCTACTTAATAGAAGATGGAAACAGCAAAAACAAGCAAGACCCCCGCTTGCGCCCGAAAGCACGCACGCAAGGGCGTTTTTGGCATATATGTGTTAATTAAATAATGAAACTTACCAGCTAAATCATGAATTACATAATTGTATTTCCGTCTTAAGGCATCCATAATTACAGATATTAATTAAAATTAAATACTTAAAAATTGAAAGGAAACCACCTAAAACTGGCGTACAGTATTACTCCTTGCCGCGCACGTACTGTTTAAACTAAGTCGAGTATTGCTTTTACTTTTAACGAAAAGTAACCTAGGATACCGATAACGTAGGATGCATATAAAGGTGTTATCACACTGACAGACTAATGATCGATAGATGAATCGATTTATTGATCGATATAATTGTAAAGCTAAGTCTACAAGCGATTGACCAATCACCGGTTGACAAGTAGATAATCGAGAATTAAAAAAAACACTCGAATTGTTAGAAAGTGTTTTTTTTCTGTATTGCCATTTAACTTTTAGTCACTAGCTTATTAGTCATTAACTCGGCTGAGAGTGCAATTTAAATAAAAAAAATTAATTCTTCAGACCCTGGTGATCTATTAAACTAAATCAACAGTCACAATTTCAACTTTAAAAAAATATGTAATTCTACCATCGCTCGATAGCATCTATCGACTGTCGGTTTAATAATTTATAAGCACCTTTAAACGTACAAAAAAAATGATCTTTATTAATGAACTATGGACATTTTGATACCATATATCATGATTACCATAGTTCATTAATAAAGATAATTTTTTTCATGTGTATTTAGATACACGTGAAAAAAATGATCTTTAGTTAAGGAATATTTACATTATTTTTACATACTAATTTTACAACTGCTACAGGGAATTCTCTTCAGCGTAACATAATGAAATTCAATTATAATCAAAATAAAATTGTAGTTACTACATTACATTACGTTAAAGATAAGTTTTGAAAGAACAAGTTTTGAAAGAACAAGATAAAGATAAGTCTGAACACGGACAATACACATACGGGTCAAATAAATTTTATTACCGCTCAAATGCATTAATTAAGGTTGTATACACTACGAATTTATTTTTTTATTACGTTAGTTTTTTTTTTGACTGCTGTTGCACTGATGTTTATAATTTTAAGTTTTTTTTAACAGACAGTTTATTTCACCTTTACTCGATCGTCACGGTGACCGCGTTGGGTGCTGTGATTGGTGAAGATTTCAATGCGGGCCAATCGCATCGCTAAACACGGTCACCGAGACAATCGAGTAGAAGTGAAATAAACTTAATCTAGGTCCACTGAAGCCGGTTCACTCAAGGAACAGCATCGACGTGAACGATATCACTCCGATCGAGCAGGGCCATGAGTTTCGAACTATGGCTCTCCCGGTACGGTATACCACATTATACGGTAAATTCAGCATTATCTAAATAATAAAACTATTAAGTAAATTTCCATGAAGCTACTTTATGAGAAAGATAAGCAACCACGTAACACACCAAAGTTTATTAAATTATGAATAATAAACAGTCATAAATTTCCATTATAAGTTAAACTATTGACTTCCATATTTTGAATAAAAACATTAATATTATAAAAATATAAATATTTATTTATCCATGTTGGTAAAACTAGTATTAGATGTTAAATAGTACATTAGTTAAAACTAGTTGTGCCCGCTACTTCGTACTCGTGAAATTTGGTTTGGGTATTATTAGGGACGAATTGCATTCGGCACAAATTAAACTATTCTGGATCTGATACTGCCAAAAACAATAAAAAATATATGGTAGTTAAATTTCTATTTATTTTATACTTGAAATATGCGAGGTTTTTCATTATGTCTTAACTGTCCTAAAATAGGTAAAAAAAGTCCGCAGTCTCAGTCACCTGTCGAATATCGACCTGTCGATTTTTTTAAAACTAGCTTCTTACTTCCTTTGCGGGCTGTAATCTGGATTAGAAAAAAAAATGCAGTGATTTCTAACGTGCCGCTAAAGCAGGCCTCTAAAAAATAAGAGTTTAATGCCTCTCACTGATCTTGAGTGTTGATGGATGTCTTTGGTGTTAAACATAGGCCTCCTGCCAATTTTCCCCATAAAAACTGGTCCTGTGTTGCCGCATCCAACGACTTCCTGCGAAATTTCCAGGTTGCCGGACTACCTCGTAGGGGTAACTCCACCTTCCGTCTTGCGGTTAACGTCTTGGTTGCAACTTGAAAACTTTTTGGCCTCCCCACTGCCACTTAAATTTGGCAATTCTCAGCGCAATGTCGGTAATTTTGGTTCCTCATTCCAGATTCAATCACGCAGAGAGACTCTGAGCTTTACCCTCTCCATTGCTCTTTGGGTGACTTGGAGCCTTCTTCGGCTGAGACAAATGTTTTGCAACGTCCTATTGAGGTGAACCATGATATACCCCTACATACACTTACGCAAAACGTCAGCTTTGTGTTTCGGTGATTTCTAATACGAATACTAAAAGTCTCTAGATTTGGCCACTTATAATAAAAGAATGAAAAAACAATTCAGGGATTTCGACGTTCTCTCGAAAATTGTGTGTCGCTATCAAAATGAATTTATATCGTGAACATTTTCGTTCAATAATTTTTTATGATTTTCGTTGTGGCTAAGTCAACAAGATAGTTGCCAGAGACTTTAATTGTCATTTGGTATAAAGAACCATATCGCAACTCTGTGTTTTTGTGACATTTTTTTGTTCATTTCGTGTATTTTGAGAATTATTTTGAGGTACTTACGTACCTCGTCACGGATGTCGGCCGGGGACTGCGGTTACATACTCTAATATTGACACCGTATGACAACTTATTGAAACCGAGAAAAATATTAGTTGCCGGCAAATTCGTGCTTTGTATTTGCTTGCTTTGGAATGAGCCAAGTGCAAAACACTTATGTGCACCTGAAGGTTTGGAAGCTTTGCACTTGATGGATACTGCATGACTTAACGGAGGACCAGAAACGACTACGTGACCAGTGGTGCCCTAAAATGATAAAAAATGGAGGACATTCGTTGGCTGTCTATAATATCATAATAGGTGGCGAAACCTGGGTGTACTTGATTGTGCTGTTTGTCGTTTCGCGATTTCGTCCTCCCACCTAGTGGAAGGTCTCCCTTTCTCTCTTTTGACCACTAGCCCTCTCCATTCTGTCACTCTTTTTCTCCACCTTTGATCTTGCAGGCGTGCTACGTGTCCGGCCCACTTCCATTTTAATGCAAAAGCTTGTGCTAAACCGTCCTTTGCTTTTGTGATGTTGCGTATTTTGTATGCCTTATTTTATTTACTCTTTTTATGTTTGGCATACTCCGCTTCATTCCTCGCTTGCACGTTGTAATTTTAATTTTAAATTTTTTGTTAAACTTCCATGTTTGACAAGCATAGGTCAGGCACGGTATAAGGCAAGAATTCATGACCTGTGTCTTCTGTTTGATTGGCATATTGCTCTTAAATATTTCTGTAAGTCTTCAGTACCTATTCCATGTTAATTGGACTTTGCTATCGATCTCTTGGTAGTTGCTTAGTCTTAAGTTGCTAAGTCGAAACTTATTTGCTTGCCTAGATAAATGTATTTATCAGTGTGTTTGAGAGACTCGCTGTCGACGTATTTGTACCTTGGTGTTGTTGGACATTACCATAGTTTTAGATAGGTTCATCTCTGTTTGTTAGCTTTGTTTAGTGACTGTACCATGTACTCGTACTGTAGTTCTTTTCTATTTTCTGATATCAGCACCAAGTCGTCGGCAAAACGTAGGTGGTTTAAATACTTATTTTTTACTTTTATTCCTCATTCATTCCAGTCAAGCTTGCTTATTATCGACTCTAATGTAGCTATGAATAGTCTAGGTGAGAGTGGGTCCCCCCGTATAACGCCTCTTTTTATAGGGAGCCAGGGACAAGCTGTTTCTAGTTTTACTCTACTTTTGCTCTTCCTATATAGTCTTTTTTTAAAATTAATTAATTTAAGTACTCTTAAATATACTTTTACACATTTTGTGTTGTTAGAGTTTCCCAGATATAGTTGTGTGATACTGAATCGAATGCTATTTTGAAATCGATATATGCCAAGTACAGTGGTCTATTTTTCTCTTGATATTTCACGATGAGAAGTTCGAGTGTGTGAATATGGTCGATGGTAGAGAATCGTTTTCTGAATCCTGCCTGTTCAACAGGTTGTCTTGTTTCTAATGTAGAGCAATTTTTTTGGTCTGGATTGTAGAAAATAGCTTCTATGCACTCGACAGCAGACCTATAGGTCTATAGTTCCCAATATCATTTGGGTCGCTTTTTTTATATAACAGAATTATATTAGATTCAGACCATTGGGTGGGTGTCTCTCCAGATTCGAGGATAGAGTTAAATAAATTTGGAAAGGGTGTAACTAATATTGGGGCAGATATTTTGAGAGTCTCGTTTGCTAGGTTGTCCGAGCCCGGGCTTTTATCTGATTTCAGTTTGTTCAGTGCCTCGATGACGTCGTTAGCTTTAATTTGGGGTCTTGTAAGTATGTTGCCATCGCTGTGGTTATTATGGTTCTCGTGGCTGGTGTCTTCTGACTCTTTTGTGCTGTAGAGATCTTTATAGAACTCTGTCGCTATGTTAATGAAGTCGCCGCAGTTGTTTTTAGTTAAATCGCCTCGTTTTAGGTTTTTGATCCGTTTTATTTGGTTTAAGCTCTTTGTATGCCCTTTTTTTAGGTGGTCTCATTAACGCTAAATCAGGATCTGATGATGGGATCCTAGTAAAATCAAGGGAAACTCTCAAATTTTACAGCTACATGGGTATTTGCGTTTAGTAGTCGTTATGTCATGTTGCTGAGCTGATGATGGAAGGGACCTTGACCTTTAGGAGTTAGAGGATAACTCTTTTATATATTGACCATGTTTCTTTCTTTCTAGATAATTTTTAGGTGTTTGTGTTGGGTTACAGAGATATGTGCACAAAAGAGATTACAAAACATTAAGACAAAAAAAAATTGTTACGCAATTATTTTCATGTTTGTTACCTCAAAACTCTATCATTTGTAAACCGATTATGAAAATTCTTTTTTTGTTTGTAACTAAAAGGGGAAATATGCCTATATTTTCCTTTTAGTTCCATTCAAATGTGAGGAAAAATTATCACTCCTAGTTTAGTGGAAAATTAAGTAATGTGAAAAACAATATATTGTCGTATTCAAATGTATCATCTTACTACCCTATCTAAATAAAGTAACGGACTTATTGAATTGACTAAATTTAATATAATCTTACATACTACTGTGTGGTACTTTACAGTATTATACGTTATGTTTCAAATATTGAACTTATCTGCTCATTACAAACATATCTTACACCTAAAAAGGGTTACCATTTTAAGTGTAAGGGATTTATGTTAATAAATCCTTTTAAAAAAAGTTGAACCGACTTCAAACAATACTGACAAAGAGCACTAAAAATTATAAAATAACTACAAATCTAAGTAAAAAAGTATAATAAGTACCCTCAATATAACAGGTAACATTATAATAGCAACAGTCCCTTCTAGTCTGTTTGAAGTCGGTGCCAAGCCAAATAGGTGCTTGATAGGCTTGGTAGAATGTAGCGCGGCAGCTGCAACAGTCTTCATGGTGCGCAAAACATGCTGAACGAGCTAAAGTGTCCAAAGCATATTAAGCCGAATCGAGACCTCTCGGCTAGCAAGGACTGTGATGTTTGTCCGTTCGGGTTGAACGCTTTCTGATATTGACTTAAGGCGTAATCGGCAACAATAGTTTCTGTTCGGACGGCGGGCCGGTATACACTAGGCGTTTTGCGAGCGCTTAAATCCACATTCGCTAATTTAAAGTATGGGAACTGATCCACCAAACATACTGAATTATGTAAGCAACCCTGTGTTCAACAGAGTAATGGATGAATTGACACCCTATCTCATAAGATATCTATATATCATAAGATAAATAAAGTATTGAAAATATATGCCGTATCGTATACAAAGTGTCATACTTTAGTAGGAAAATAATTAAGGTAAGATAAATTATGCAAACAAAAGACAAATCAAAAGATTTGATGAATGAAGATGCTGAAAGGATGGAGAAGCATAACTCGAGATAGAGATAAGTGGAAGAAACTGGGGGAGGCCTATGTCGTAAGACAACCTGACTAGTGGTCACTAGAGATAATATTTTATCAAAAATTTTAGAAAATTGTTTTGTAAGTAGTATATAAGTTAAAATGTGTAATATGGTCAGTGAATAAAGGTTTTTTTTATTTATTTATTATGCAGACAGAAAACATTTAACCTATTTTATAATGATGTAATTTTATATACAATTAAGTTATTAGACAATAACTAATATATATTTGTGTGTACAATTCAGTCTAAAGTGATTTACAATATTTATCTATTAGAACTTTAAAAGATTTAACGTCCTTGTTTCTAACATCATAGTCAAGCGACTGCCAGAAACACAGGTCATACCTAGCTCAGGCCGATTCCAAAAGAATTTGTAATATTTTGATTTTACTTGTTTCTAATCACGCTTGCACATTTTAGAATGGTCATATACTAGTTAAATGTTAGCTTTATATAAGAATCTTATGACAAGGGGATGTAAATCATATAAAAAATGTAATAACAACGTTACTCTGCAAATATCTTTATTTTTTATACAAAAAAATATTAAGACATGATTGTATACAAGTTTCGATGAAATTCATATCGGTATAAAAAATATCTTATTTTTTTTTAGCATGAGCATTTCTCATGAAAATAATAAGATTTTTTTATTGTAAAAATAAGTCTTTGAGATAGAGTTAATACTATTTGATTTTCAACTTTGTGAAAAGACACAATTGCAGCACTATCTTTTATGTGAAACATCTAAGGTGGAGAATCTATCTAGCTGTTGTCGTGCGGCGCCACTTGATAGTATATTTAACATATTACATCTGCAGTGGCGCAATGCATTGTCAGTCTAAATATTATATATATTTTAATTGTGCTATATTTATAATTTCTATCATAAGCTATCCTTTTATACTCATAGTTTTGATTTTTCACATCTGCAAGACGCCCCCGGTCATTTTTTTGTTTCTTTTTTTTATTAATATGTCAGTCTATCACATAAAATATCGCAAATACACAATATCTAATACTTCATTAACACAATCACAGTAACTTCATATATTAGCATTCTTTTGTTTTACCACTTGTGACCAACTCCGTTGTCGTATTACCGTTGGTAATAGTATTTTTCGCAATTCCATTGGTGACCGTATATCTCACTTTGGTACCTTCGTAATTCGTAGTAGCTCTCTTATTTTTGACGTAGGTGTTGTAATAGAACATACTGAACATATAAAAGAAGATACCAGAGCTGAGAGAGAGGAAAAAATTAATGATTTTAGGGTAATTACAGTCACTGAACAAAACGCTGAAGTTATGATAGAAGACAATGCAGAACTGAATCTGGAATAAAAAGGTAAAAAGAAGATTTAATAGAATTTTAACTAGACACGTGATTAACACACAAGTACAGTAAAGTTTTGTCAATTTTAATATTAAACAAAAAAAATATCATTTATCTATGCTCTAGTTTTTAGCAGAACATGACTTTTGATATCGTTTAAAATATTCGACGTGGAAAGAATTTTCTTATCTGTCTCTTGGTGCCAACTTTGTCGATTAAAAACACTATTCAGAACAGAAACTTACCAGTTGAATAGTGGTGAGGTGCTTCTTCCACCATAGGTACTTTTGGTACTGAGGTCCAAGTCCGGCGATCAGGTAGTACGAGTACATGATAATGTGTACGAATGAGTTGATAACTCCAAAGAGAGTTCCGTGACCTCCTAGAATTACGCATAAAACATGTTTTATTGACTTTCAAACAATTTCCGTCATCGTGGCTGGCTGTTTTAGTAACTGAATCTTATCTAGCTCTTACTATTTATTTTTTAATCAAAAATAGTTTTTAATGTTTCTAGTCTTGAGTCGAACATGTCTCGGATCATGTAGGTAGGTAGAATATCTAATATTTGCTCTAAAGCAATTTTCTGCTGATGTGATTGACTTTTAAATTACTTGTGCGTTCTATTAATAATTAAATGCTGACATACCTGGCAAGTACTTGACACCGTACCAAATACTGATGGGCATTATGGAATGGTGGTACAGATGCAAGAAACTGATTTGTTTATTCTTCTTTCTCAACACAAAGAAGATAGTATCAAGGAGCTCAATAATTTTTGCTACAAAGTACCACCATGCAGCTGCCGCCATCTACAATAGTTAATCTGTTAAGTCCCAACCGAATTTAGTTGATTACAAAACACGCTAAAACTGTAGTCTTACATAAATACAACTTATTCAAGAATAAACATTACTTGGACCTTAAAACTCGATGTCTGTTAATTATTGATGCATTGGTTTTTTCATAACATATGAAAATCATAGGATATTTCATCTAATTCTATGATGCCTTAAATATTTTGGTGATATTGCTTTCTAAACGTAGTGTAGGACGTCCACAGGCTAGGTGGAGTGACGATTTGCGCAAGATGGCTGGATGCGAGAAGCCCAAAATCTAAGTGGCTTGCAATGGGAGAGGACTATGTCCAGCAGTGAACTGCGATAGGCTGATGATGTTGATGATGATAATATTACTTTTTTTGGTAATAGAATAAATTTCATAACAATAAACTTATTTACTATTATCCCTTGATATATTATATGAGTACATCTTTTCCCAATATACTTCATTGTATGAATTAGGCTAATAAAATTGAATTCTATTTCGAAAATAACATTTTATTACTTCTTTCTCGACAGTTAATAAGTCCGAGTGCTTCTTTTTGTTTATAATATTATTTAAAGTATTAGTTTAATGTTTTCTTACCCTTTTCGCTTGAGGGCTATCGGAGTAATCTATTGGTTGACATGAGAAATTGTAGTCGTTCCACCATCCGGCGACTAGACCCTGAAAATGAAAAATTAAATTGACGTTTTGAATTGAATACATAAACTTATATCATGAAACCTATACTTACATAATAGTAAACGATAAAATAAAAGAGTATGGTGCTTTTTAAAGATTAAAATGATACATTGAGAGTGAAGTAGGCATTTCCTAGTCAAAAGTTAATAGTACAATGCAAATCTAAGAAAATTTTAAATAAGACTTGAACGACGGGTTGACATTATACACAACCATGTTACAAGGGGATCGAAATTATGTTTGATGGCTTTGAGAAAAGATGGTAGATCCAAATCTACAACTTGTCAATTGTAAACATGATCTCATTCTGGATCGAAATCCAAAGCGAGCCAAGTAACATCAATACTTAATTTTAATACTATGTTTTGGCAATTTGTTACATATGTACAGCATGACCATATTCCAAAAGAAACCTTTTAGCTATTTTTCTAAGACTAATACATAAATTTAACTAAGGAGGGCCAAGCTGCGGCACAAATGGACCGGCTTAAGCGAAGTGAAACTAGGGCCTGTCAAATGAGCCGGCTTGAGCGGAGTATAATTTACGAAACCAATTCATAAAAATACACAACTTAACCTTGTAAATATAAATTAAAAACATTCCTGGTTGTATAAAAAGTAACAAGACTAAAAGTAAATGATTTATCTTACCTCTTTAACGATAAATAAACTAAAGCCTACTTGAAATATATTGTACAACAAAATAACAGTTTTTAGTTGGAATGGTTGCCTGTTTTTCATTAATCTTGGGCCCAGCGATTTGCAGAAATAGAGATATGCTGACACAATAGAGAAGACGACTAAAGGATTTGATACTCCCCACCAGTCTTGCGTTCTAGGATCTGAAAGTATATAGATAGCAAAACTTTGAAACGAACTATCAGGCAAAGTAACAAATAATCATAATAAGGTACAAAATAGACATACTAGTAAATATGGTTGTCCTATTATACACAGTAAGCCAGTATTTGGGGGGCTTTTCATAATTCCCCGACGCCTCGCGCGATCTATACAACACTTCATCTTTCATATATGTATGTTCGTAATCACCCGTATTTAAATATATCGGAGAATTAGTATGCCGAAGCGTAATTGGGCCGGTCATGTCACCAGACGGACTGATGGCAGCTGGAGCCGACGGAGTGTGCGCTTATCATATCATGGAGTATGACAAAGAGCAGTTTTTTATTCATGAAAATATTATTCGTATTTTACTTTAAAACTACGTTGTATGTGTATGTGTTTGGAACTATAATATTCAAACATCATAAATGCAGGTAGTTACCTGCATTAATGATGTTTGAATAAATTAAAAGCGACTATGTAGATGCATGCGGTCTGAGTTAGCGTACTTCCTTTGTTTTCCTATGACACGTTGAATAGTAGCAGGCAGCGGCTGGACAGGGACTGCCCAAGACCGGGATACTTGGAGCGCTCAAGGACCAAAAGACTCCCCCAAGAACCGCTATGGGGGAGTTTATCGTGCAGTAGTGGACGTCTATAGGCTGATGATAATTATCATGCAATACATCTTTAAGAAGAATGAAATAATTAGACTCTTTCAAAAGAAGAATACGCAAAACAAATGACGATTGAGGAATAAAGTATTTTTTTTAGTAAAATTAACTAGTATCTCAAAATAAAACAGACAGAAAAATATTTAAAATGGATAGATAAAACACAAAACACAGCAGGACTGTATTTCAAAACTGTAATACGATTTGAATTAAATTTATATTTATTTATTGCATAATCAGCTCTAAGCTCATTAATAAATTGGCATTGAAGTGGTGCAAGGAACCGTGACAATAACGTGGCGATAAAATGTTAGGGGTATACCCATGAAGGTGAAGATTTCTATTTTTTTTTAATACTACTTCTTTAAAAATTGATTTTAAATAAAGAGTTTTCTATCTATCTATTTATAGTATCATCGACAATTTTTAAGCCTCATCTTTACAATTCCTCAAATTTAAGTACAAATTAGTCCAGGAACTCGTATCTAAACTTAGAAAACTTTCGATGTAAAGACCGAACTATCAAAAAGATTGCTATATACTAAACTCCTATATTGACCAGGTCAGGTGAACTCTAATAACTAACTAATGTAGTGAATGTCCAATAAGATCTCCACATCAAGGGAGGAAGGAGGAAGTATAGAAACGTAAAATGCGACTTCTAGTAAGTGTCTACAGCCGCCCATTGACAACTGCAACTCAAGAGCCACAATTGCGTTGTCGCCCTTGAGTTGATATGGCTCCGGTTGATCCAACCCATACTTGCTTGAGCATGGCTCTCCTAAGGCCATCGGTGCATCAGATCTCAAAAACTATCTAATTACGTCCATAGGTAGCGGTAGCCACTTTTCATTAGATGATCTGTCCTTTTGCCCCCTCTTCTATAAAAAACGGTGAAGAGAGAAGAATAGTCGCAGATGGAGAGCACTACCGTAATAAAATAATAAGAGAAGATTAGCCAGAAACAGCAAATAAAGGCAAGGCCCTATTCGCGCCCGAAAGCACGCACGCAAGTACGTTTTTGGCCAATGATTTAAATAATGAATGAAACTTACCAGCTAAATCGTGCATTATATAATTGTATTTCCGTCTTAAGACATCCATAATTACAGATGTTAATAAAAATTAAATACCAATGAATTTAAAGGAAACCACCTAAAACTGGCGTACAGTATCACTCCTTCCCGCGCACTTATAGATTAAACTGAGTCGAGTATTGCATTTGCTTTTAACGAAAGAAACCTAGCTACGCGCTAGGTTTCTTTCGGCATGTATATAAGGGTGTTATCACACTGACAGGCTGACGACCAATATATGAATCGATTTATTGATCGATATAATTGAATCAACTGAAGCTATCAGTCTTCAAGCGATTGACCAATCACCGGTCGATGAGTAGTCAATCGAGAATTAAAGAAAAAAAAAACACTGAATTGGAGTCGTTGGAAAGTGTTTTTTCTGTATTGCCTATTAAGATTTGAGTCACTATAGTCCGTAATCCGTAAAATACAGCTTGAAACCGCTGACAGCTAGAAGCAAATCCGACGATTTAACTTTGAACTGACGCACGTCTTAAGCACACATCTGTCCACAGTGATCAGAATGTAGTTTGTTTATTAGTCCTTAGGTGTGTGACAATATGCCAGTAAATATATTATCTAAACACCTGGCTGTGGTGACAGTCCTGGCAGAGGCGGATTAAGTATCAAGAGCGCTCTAGGCAAGCATCTCATTGGCGCCGCCCCTCCGTCCCCCCTACTCATTTCTAGGGCCCAATGTGTGATAGTGATGACTCCAAAGTTTAGTTGTCATATCTATACTAAAACTTTATTTTTTTAGCTTTTATTAAGACCTCTGGGTCTTTCTTGTTTTTGGTGATAGATGGTCTCACCTTCATCCCCTAGCCTTTTTTTTTTTTTTTTTTTTCCTCCAAGCCTGCACTTATGCAGGATGGGTGCCATTCACATTCGCCGCCTGAACCGCCTGCAGTAACTGGCCGGGAGTTCTAAGCTTCTTCAGGTCCCGCTCCACCCCCTTCTTCTGGAAAATAACTTTCTCTCAGGAAGTGGCGAAGTTCCACGCGCCAATACTCTGTGCCATGGCCGCAATCATGGTGCCCAGCTAGAAAATCCTCTCTCTGATGGCCGTCATTCTAGCAGCGTGTGGTGTTTCTTCACTAGCCAATAATCCATGACGGGTTTTAATATGGCGTACCCGGTGCTTGGTTGCCAAAGTCTTTTCCTCCACTCCTCCTTGAAGACCTTACAAGTTTGGGATTCCTTCCTCGAGTCCCGTGATCCCGACCCGGTACGAGCCCCAGATATCTCATCGAGAGGTCGATGTTGATGGTAGTGCACCTTCCTATGAGACTGGATGCCTTAGGCGGCGCCCTCTGAGGCTCATGAAAGCACAATGCCTCAGATTTGTGATAAAAACTTTTCTAAACAAAATTAATGAGCCGTCATTTATAAAAGTTCAATGCTAAAAGACTAACGAATATGGGACTACTGAAGTTGAAATAGAATAGAAATAGGAGGCGAGAGAGTGGATTTGTATGTGCTCACGTACTTACCCACCATAATATTTATTTTTCTTGTTGGGTTCGCGATTAAGAAGAATATCGCATGTACTCTTATGAAACCACCTAAAGGCTTCGGTGACAGACTCATTACATTCCGACTTCACACAGTATATTAAAAGGTGACAGGGTGCCGCCGTCGACAGATACGTCTGGAGGACGTCACTGAAGTTGAACATGAGTTGATGACTTTTCAGCAATATTATGTTAAGTAAATTTAAAAAATATCAATTTCGTCACAGGTTATGAACAATTCAGTTTTTAGGACATGCCATGTTATGCGACTGCATATGTAAATTATACCTAATAAGTTATTATTAAATCACTGCATATATTAACCAGCAACTGACCCATACACTTCTCAATTTCTGAATATTACAATTTTATTTCTTTTTAAGGTTTCTGAGTTTTTCAATGTTACAAGGGATGTATTATTATTCTTTATAAGCAACATGGAGGTGCCACAGGCCAGATCAGAGTAAGCCGGGGAGTAGTGACCACTAAATGAGTGATTTTCTATCAACAATTGAGCATGATTACAGTATTCACGGTTGAAGCATAGTTACAGTAGAAGTTGGCTACCGCCTATGGCAGAGTAGGAGTCCAGACCTTCCATGGAAAATCTACTACTGGCAACTCAATCAAGCTTCAGCACCTCCAGACGATAGGAACATTACATGAACACTGGATGACAGACGGTACTTTCAAGCTTTTAGAAAACCACCGGATGATGAAAGCAGTAGGAGCTGATACCGAGGATCTCAACAAAATGACAGCACAGCACACTACACAACGTAGATACGTACAAGATCACAACACCCACCTGCGAAATACTTGTATTTGTAAAGATATTGAAGTTCATGCTGACAAATATAAATCAAGAGACCTCTCTCACAAAATTCGCCTCATCACAAAAACTTAGTCATCCAGAACTTGGGCTTTCGAAAACCAGAATGGCTAAGTGGTCACTTAACTGGACAAAATTTCGGAGGTTTGGTATCAATACTGCCAGTCCTAGTTCCAAGACCATCATTCGAAAAATAAGACCCGCCATTTAATACCTAGGAAAAAAGATGACATTCAATTGAAACCATACCAGCTTCGGGAGAGCGTAGCGTTCCCATCATTCAAGTCATTTACAACAGATTATGGCTCAAACAGTATTCAGTCCTCTTCACTAAAAGGGTTCCACCTAGAATGTAGTAGCGTCCGACTTATTGGGCTTATTACACATGGCGGCAAAGTAATGCTACGCATCATAAATGAACGGCTAAAACCTTCTCTATTCAGAAATATTGCGCTACAACAAGCCAAATTTGTCAAAGAACGTTCAATGTTCGTTCGTGGCTCGAGAGTCAACAAGCCCACATGCATAATATTTTGTGGATTTCTTCAAAGCGTTCTCGGTGACTCTGTGAAAGGGCCAACGTTATGGAAGACATTAGGAAACGTACTATTTGACCCATTTAGAGGGCAGGTCTACAAAATACCACGCTTGGTCTCTGGGCTTCCGCTTTGGTTTTTGTCACGTGGTCAATTTATTATGTCTAGCAAATGTATTAATAAAGATTGAGACAATTTTTTTAATTTCCTGTTTGCAAAAAATTATTTGAAAACATATCCATAAATTCATCATCACCATCAGCCTATAGCACTCCACTGCTAGACATAGGCCTTCCATTCATAAATCACTACGTGAAAACTAGAAGGTGGGTGGTCCTGGCATATACTACGGATAGTCATAGATAGATCTGGGAGGTGAGGATTTAAAAATTGAAAAACATGGGTCACGTAGTAAGGATATATTCTTGTCGAATGCACGTACCAAGATTGAAACCATCTGGTAGGAGGTCTTCAGTCCGCACTGAAGCTGTTCCTCTTCTGTAGAGCTCCCTGAGTAAGTGTACGAGGTGTTGTGGTGTGCCCATGTCCAGATGCGGCTGTGCAGTGCGGACTGAAGACCTCCTACCAGATGGTTTCAATCTTAGTATGGGCATTCGACAAGAATGCATAATATTATCTTTTCCATTCAACATCTACACCGAGCTTGTAATGGGAATCACTCTTGAGGACGGAAACACCATCGGTACGTGTTGCAGTTGGTGGATATAACATACCAACCAGCGGTACGCAGACGACCACCTTGTTGGCGAGTAATGCTGGCCTAATGGAAGAATTAATTCTCAAAATGGAGCGCGTAAGGCTGATGTTTGGATTGAAGAGAAATCGATCTTAAACCAAATTGATGATCGTGGATCGTCCGAAGTGACACAGATTGTGAGCTACGACGTAGTTCAGACCTTAGGAGTCTAATCTCAAATAACAATAAAAATTGGCTAAGTACCAAATTTTGTGTTTTTATAATTTTTCTATTTATTTTGGCAGATTTAATTGAAATTACCAAATCTCTCGCTTAAGCTCATTATAACCCCAAGATTTCATAAGTTCTATCAGTTGATTCTTCAAAGTCAGCATTAGGAGCAGTCATTTCACAAAATAATAAACCTATTGCTTATAATGCATAAAAACATTAACCGTAACCAAGTCAAGACCTGCTCAAATTGAAAAAGAACTACTGGCTACTCCATCAGTTGTGAAAAATTACATCAACATGTCATAAAGTAATCATACTAATCACAAATCTTTAGTCTATTTATTTAAAAAAACCATTACATGATGTACCAGCTAGATTACAGCGTATACGAGTAATGTTAACTTTACTAAAACATGATTTGGAAGTAATACATGTCTCGGGTAAAGAGCCACCTTTTTTTTTTTTTTTTTTTTTCCGTGCGGAAATCCCCTCGGATACCACCTGTCGGTGGCATGTCGGACTCGAACCGACTCGAACGACTCGAACGAAACCGCACGCCGTCGCCGGGTACTAGTAGCCGGGGAACCAGGTATACCCTAGAAAGGAAGGGGGTGCCCCGACATACCTCGGGTCATCTACAGACGAGTAGACGACCCCCCCCCCCCCCCCGTGTGGGAACCCCATGTTCCCTGTGCTCCCTGGAAGCGAGCGCGCTTCGCAACGCGCTCGCCGGGGTAAAGAGCCACCTGAGAATGAGTCAGAAATGTCTTGTCATTTTAATTTAATGTATACAAATATGGCAATTACAAATGAATTTAGTACAAAATTGTCACAGGAAAGTAAAACAGATGAAAGCTTGCCATTGCTAAAGAAATATTAAATACATGAATATTTTCGGACAGCTGACACACAGTGTGATCTAGTTTCAAACTAAGCAGAGCTTGTACTATGAAAGCTAGATTGACTGATAGAATACTTATATATTCTTTTTGTAAATACAAACATATTATACATAGAAAACACCCAACTTCCGAAACAAATGATTGCATATCATACACACATTTGGTCTAATCCGGGAATCGAACCCGAGATCTCATCACAGCAGTCGCATACGCTAACACTGCACCACCAAGGCACTCAAAAAGGTTATTATTATGAAGGTTGGCTAAAAAGTAAAAG